GAACTAGATATAAACTCTATACAGATCTGGTTTAATGTGAACTAGATGTAAACTCTATACAGATCTGGTTTAATGTGAACTAGATGTAAACTCTTTACAGATCTGGTTTAAATTGAGCATTCTTTAGGCGTGGAGGCACAATTAGCCTCAGAGTTATTTTAAAAACAATAAGACAATGACTGTCTTTGTTTCAGTCTCAAATTGAGACTCCAGTTTGAAGCAGATCAAGAGGTGAAGAGGTCCTGTGTAGACCTGACCTCTAAAGTGAGAGGTCCCTCAGTGGCCCCCAGGGGCCCCTGGCTGACACTAATTAATGCTTCTTTTTAGGGCTGCACAATATATCAAACACATTTTAATTTAAATATCTGTGAGTGCATATCAACATGGAGGACTGTAGTGAATCATAAGCAGTTATATGAACGAGTTATATTAAACTTGAACAACATGAATGAAAGAAAATGTTTATGTAAAAAAATTATAGCTTTCAGTTGGAAGTACTTTAACAGAACATATAAATGATACCAAGATCAGATATCTGGGTTTAAAAAAAAGAATTAAAATAACAGGAAAGTTTTAAAATGTGTAAACTTAGATGCAAAAAGTTATCTCCCATAAAAACACAATTTTTACAGATGTTTAGAGTTGTTGTGAAACTTTCAGCAGATGTTCTTTAATGAATGTCAGAAGCTTTTCCAGGTCTTAGAATGGCATTAATAATTTTTTAATTATTAACGAGTAATAAACCTTTATTCAGCACAAGGACTGAGTTTGTTACTGCAGCCATTCTCTTGTTAACATTTCCAGTTTGCTGAAGGTGAGACGAGCTGACGATCAAATGAGTAGATTTGTTTTTTAAAGATACCGTAAATGTAGCTGAAAACATGAACAGCCTGTTAAGTTTTTTTTATTTTATTATTTTGCCTTCAGGAAAATCAAGCAGCTTTTGTTGGAGTTAAAGTTCTGAGTAACGCCACGGCTATCGCTTGAAGAGAAGGTAAACGAGAAACGACAGACGGAATTGTGGGTATTTTTCTTTTTTATGATCAATGCAAAACTCCATTGTCCTTAGAAGAATGGACCTGCCAGGTGGGAACATCACAAACAGTGTTCAGAACCGAGGGGACGGCCGAGTCAGCACTGGGAGTAACAGACTTAATTTATTTTCATCATTTATTTATTTAAGCTGGAAAATCCCTCTGAGATCAGAGAAGGGAGGAGGCCGAGACACGCAGCTCCAACATGTGAGGCTATGGACCGAGGGAGGAAACCTGGCAACACCATGCTAACTCCACTCAGAAGTACCACAGGTCCAAAATGGGGCTTGAACCCTTGACCTTCTTGCTGTGAGGCAACAGAGCCAACCACTAATCCACTGTGCTAGTTTTTGAAAAACAACCAACCATGCTGCAGAGGGACCAACAGAACCCTGAATGGGATAACATTCTCATCCAAACACTCCAGCAGCTGCTCTCGTGAGTTTTAGCTGTTTACAGAGGAAACAAAGAGGCTTCACGGTGAGAAAACACCTGGAACAACTGTTGAGACGTGCTGCTGCCATTAAACACAAATAAAAAAGGTACGTTATGAGCTGTAAACAGACAGACGTTCACTACGTTGTTGATAAAACATTATGATTCTGGTTTAAGTTACTGGGGAGTACAAAAATAAGTCCAGTCAACTAAAGGTACAAAGCATTACAGGACCATCTAGCTGTGAGGCAGCTGTGGTAACCACTGATCCACCATGCCACCATAAGAGAAAAGTTAAGAAAACAGGAGTTTATCACAAATAATTTGGCACATTACGAGCCTTTCTGCTTTTGTTCTGCCCTCCTTCTTTTCTAGACATGAACTCCTGAGAGGCAAACACCTCCTGTCTGAGGAGCCAGGAGTCCTCTGGAGGACACAGCCTCCAGGATGAGGAGCCAGGAGTCCTCTGGAGGACACAGCCTCCTCAGGCAGGAGACCTCCCGATCACTCCAGGTGAGGAGCACACTACAGTGTGTTATCAACCTGAGGCACATGTTCAGAGACAACACAGCTGGTGTTCAAACGTGTCAGTGTTTACCTTCAGGTTGTGGTGTTGCTTTGTGTCAACACATAAACAACAACAACAACCACACTCAGTAAACACGGTGATGTAAAGCCTGCACGAGGAAAGGTGAGCAGGACACACCTTTACATCCTTCAGTAACCGAGGCTCGACTGAAACCGAAGAGCTGCAGTGTCAGATGTCAACATGCACGCGCGCGCACCGTACCTGAGGAATTCTTGCAGGCAGGTGTCACAGAAGCGGTGTCCACAGGTGGACACTTGGACAGGCTCCCTCATGGCCTTGCTGCACAGAGGACACTGGAAGCGTCTCTTGGGTTTCTCCAGGAACTTGTAGTCGAAGCCGGGCATGATGTCTGCGGCTCCGCGCGCGCGGCTCACAGGTAAAAAAAAAAAAAAAAAAAAAACGTCCTCCTCCTCCTCTGTCCGTTTGACTCTGCCGTTTAAGTCGAGGATGAGGAGCTCATATCTTTCCTCCTTCCGATCGGGGCTCTTCTTCAGGAGGCGCCTCCTCCTCCTCCTCCTGCTGCCGCTCCTCCTCCTCCTGCAGGAAACAAAGACAGCTGCAGGAACGGAGCTGCTCCTTCTGACTGCAGGTCTGACAGAGTGAACACAAGCTTAAAAAAAAACACACCGTCTGTTTAGGTGCACTAAGCCCCGCCCCCTCCTCCTCTTCCTCCTCCTCCTCTTTATGGCTCTTTAATTAGGCTTTTGTTCTGGTCTCTAATCAGACACAAATGCTCACGTGGGATGTTTGACATTTATTTATATAAGTAAAGTGGTGCAGAATAAAACAGGATTCAAGGTGAGCAGCGAGGAGGGATTTGTTTCCGGTTCTGACAAATAAAAACAGCTCAGAGGACTAAAGAAGGAGGAAGACGCCCTCTGGTGGCCGGTCGGCGCATGACAACCTGAGCGTTTAAGATTCTGCTTTATGTAAAAATTTAAAAAAATATATCATTGCAAACAATCAGAATCAAATATGATCACATTCCTGATTTAAAGAAATAATGCAATTAAAAATGAAAACATCGTTTGTACCGGTGGCAGTGAGTCCTCACATCTGGATGATTGTTGGACCCGCTGCATTGCCACCGGATTACATCACCATTACATCACCAGAAAGGACAACAATGACAGCAGGGCCATGTCCTCAAAAAAAAAAGGTGTCTGCACAAAGAAAATCAACTCAGCGCTCAGGAAAAACACTGATAATTAAATCGATTCATCCAGAGCAACGACAACGACTAATTAACCTCGGGCGTTTAGTAAAATATTTCCTTTTTAACTGTCAGGTAAAAGGTGGGAGTGATTTTTATTTACTTTAAAATGAGGTGTCGCTTCAAGGTTTTCAGGCGTATCCGTCAACCTAAGTGTTGTTTATTTGTGGGACCAGTTGCAGGTAGCAGATTCTCACAGTTTTTTTTAATGCTGTTTCACGTGTGCGTGTCAATCAAGTCAGAAAAGTTTTAACGAGTGTAGAAAATATGACAAGTTACTATTTTTAGCAGCATTACAAGTAATAATTGTAAGAAGTTTATTCTTAATCTTACATTTCATAACACATTTTACACTTTCATTTTGAGATAAGCTTCACTTTAGGGCAAAAATAGTCGAAGCTACCACTGGATTAATACATTTAAACAAGATTAACTTAAAATATGATAAAATTTTAAAAAAAGGAGGAGCCAAAAGTAAAAACTTGGATCAAGGACTGATTTCATTAAGTCAAATCTAACCTCTGACATCTTTTCTTGGTTGCAGGTTCATCAGCAAGAGTTGCTCTGTTTCACTGGACGTTCTCTGTCGCTCTTTCCACATCAAACTTCATTTTTCTTGCACATTATTCAAGCTGTTATCAACTGCAACATAACGCTGCTGCTTCATATTCATCAATATGATGGTCCAACAGAGCATCCAGACTGTTGTTCTCATAAAAGAATCTGTTTTTATCTGCAATAAAACTGTTTGTGTGTGCTGTGGTAAATAAAGCCGTGGTCTTGTTTAATCTTTGTCTGTGATCAGATTGATCAGACAGGAAGCTGCTTCAGACCTGCTCGTGTGGACACTGAAAGGGTGACGTGCTGATATTACAGCTGCTGCTGTCTGAATATCAGCATGTTTGTATTTCTCGTGATAATCTCCAGTTTTGTTTTAATCTCTGGAACAGTTCACACAAAACGACCGTTTCACTTCTGACACACGAGTAGGTTAGAGAAAACACAAAAGCTGCGTCTCTTTGTTTACACTTTGTTTTCAGTCCTGTGTCATTTCGAGTCGTTCAGTCCTTCAGAGTCCTGTCGAGGAGTGAGAGCAGAGCCGATGATGTCGTTTTTCTGCTCTCTACAGTCTGAACAAAGGAGGGGACTTCAGCTCCAGTCCAGTCTGACCCTCGTTATCTGGTCTGAACGCCGCTGGATTAATCCAATAAGGCCCACTGAGGCTGAGATTGAGATTAATGTGCTCGTGTCGTTTGACTGACAAACTCTCGAGCGGCTTCTTCCCTTTTGTCTTAAGAGATCTAAAACCTGTTTGACTTTCACTGCGGAGCGAACAAATACAGCTCCCGGCATGGCAGCCGCCTAATGAGCTCCTGTGATCCAGCTTCAGTATCAGTGTAGCAACATTCCTTGTGCAGCGTGTTTGTTGTGAAACACACCTGCCGCTTCAGACAGGCCGTGACCTTCTGTGTGTTATTGGGCCACCTACCGAAACCATCGTCCCGAGAGGAGAAATAAGATGGAGCGGATAGAGAGGAAGACTGAGGACGGGAGGGGGCTGCAGCTGCACACTGAAAGGAAATCATTTGAAGGTAGAGCGCACGCTGCACGGGTCTCTAGGAGGAAGACGTCCTCGTCATCAAACTCCCGCTGGGCCTCAGGAGGTACGGCTCAGGGGGAAGGGTTGCTCCTCGGACCCGGCTGAAAAAACAAAGAGCAGAAGACAAAAGAGGGGCGTCAGCTGGAAGAATAACAAATTAACGGCTTCGGCTTGTCCTTCATGTCACACGACAGTAAACTCAGCGATCATTTAAGAAAACAAGCAGTTTGTCATCCAAACAAGTGACTGTCACAAACTTCACTCCAAAATACCACGTTAACTATCTGCTGTCGTTACATCTGACAACACGGCTCGGTTCTACACGAGCATACGTGTGATGCCTCAGGCAGGGAGAGCCCCCCCTCCCCAGAGAACACCACAGATCTGGCATCAATGGAGGCAGACACGATGGAGTCAGATAGTGGAGGTGGGCTGTGAAGCGGCCCGCAGAGACCGATGGACAAAAACAACTCAATTAATCAGAGCTCTGGGGATGAAATATGTAAAAGAGAAACTGTTTGGAGATCAGCTACACTCTGGAACCTGACTGGACTAAAGCTAGGCTCAAGATAGGCCCCTAAAATAATTATTCTGTTCACAGGACGATGGTTGATTTTAAATAATCTCATATTTTACCACCAGAGACCGCCCTGTTTGTTCAGGAAAAGCATCATCGTTTATGAACAGAGCAGGAAAACAGAAGCTTAAAGAAAGGAGAGAAGTCCTCAGGTGACGTCAGTGAACCATGGACAGCGACAGCTACGTGAGAAAGTCTGGATTTTTTAATGATTTATTTGAACTGTTCTTTTTTCAAAGGGAAATTATTTTTACTACATAAATATTCAGTTTTTAAAGGGATCTCTGACTACTTGCACATATTGGCCTTGAAATTTTATTTATCTATTCTACTAAAAATTGTTGTTTGTGAAATGTGAAAACTCCTAATTATGCAAAAAAATATGTTTGTTAAACTTGTCACCTAAGGACCTCGCCATTTTTTTTACCAGTGCAATGCATTCTGGGTGATGATGTACATCGGTTGTAGTGGAGACAAAAACACAAGGAATCAAAGCTAAACGTTATTGACAAAGTTATTTTTTGTATTAATCTTATCGGTCAAAACAAACAAACATGATCAACTTGTGATGATTAATTTATTAGCTCTGGAGTGTTAATGCAATAAATATTTATTAGCTCTGAAGCAAATGTCATTTAAATTAACTCAGGAGCTAACGTCGTATATAATAGCTATGGATCTAATGTGGTATATAGTAGCTCTGGAGTTAACGTTGTATATATTAGCTCAGAAGCTGACATTTCACACACACACACACACACACACGCACACACACACACACACACACACACACACACACACAAATATATTAGCGCTGAAGCACGTCATTTATATTAGCTCAGAAGCTAACATCATATATATAGCTTTGGAGCAAATGTCATATATATTAGCTCTAGAATTAACATCATATATATTAGCTCTGGAGCAAACGTCATATATTAGCTCTAGAATAACATCATATATATTAGCTCTGGAGCAAATGTCATATATATTAGCTCTAGAATTAACATCATATATATTAGCTCTGGAGCAAACGTCATATATTAGCTCTAGAATTAACATCATATATATTAGCTCTGGAGCAAATGTCATATATTAGCTCTAGAATTAACATCATATATATTAGCTCTGGAGCAAACGTCATATATTAGCTCTAGAATTAACATAATATATATTAGCTCTGGAGCAAATATCATATATTAGCTCTAGAATTAACATCATATATATTAGCTCTGGAGCAAACGTCATATATTAGCTCTAGAATTAACATAATATATATTAGCTCTGGAGCAAACATCATACATTAGCTCTAGAATTAACGTCATATATATTAGCTCTGGAGCAAATGTCATATATTAGCTCTAGAATTAACATCATACATATTAGCTCTAGAATTAACATAATATATTTTAGCTCTAGAATTAACATCATATATATTAGCTCTGGAGCAAACGTCATATATTAGCTCTAGAATTAACATCATATATATTAGCTCTGGAGCAAATGTCATATATTAGCTCTAGAATTAACATCATATATATTAGCTCTGGAGCAAACGTCATATATTAGCTCTAGAATTAACATCATATATATTAGCTCTGGAGCAAACGTCATATATTAGCTCTAGAATTAAC